TTCCCTTCCCTTCCCTTCCCTTCCCTTCCCTTCCCTTCCCTTTCTCTATTTTTCTTTCTTTCCATTTCATTTTATCTTTTATTTTATTTTATTTTATTTTATTTTTAGTTATTTTCTAAAACTCTGAATATTTGCAATAGAATTTGAGTCTTTGGGTTTCTTTTCTTCTTTTTTTCTTTTTTTTTTTTCAGCCAAAGATTACAAGTAAACAAAGAAAGGAAAACACAGAAATATGTTCTTTGAGCCAGGCACTGGGACAGCACATACACTTGTCATCCCTCGATGAAGCATTGGCTATTAAACATGTAATATTTCCACTATATCTCAATTGCAGTGTAACAAGACCAGCTCTGAGTGAGTGCATGCAGCCGACCTTCTGTGAACGTTTTCAATGTACTTCAAAATATCATATTATATACCCGTTGTGGGAAAGTGTTCTTTAGTAGGTAGTACAAAGCAATCACAGTGGCTTTGGAGACTTTAAAGATTTCCTAAGGAGGCACTAGTGTCTATAAGATACCCTTGGGGCTTCTGTTTTGCACTGTGATTGTGCAGTGTTTTATTTCTGTCATAAGACACATACAAAGGGAAAGGAAAGAAGCAATCTTCTACAGCTGGAAACCAAATTACAGGACTCTCTTATAATAAGGACAGATTTTCCCCAAAGTGGCACAGTGGGATGTTAAGTCTTTGATTTTGATCCTTCCTAAATGAATAAGAAAGAATTCCGTTGAATTTTGTGGCATGCAACCAAACTCCAAATGAGCTATTTAAAATGTTACATAGGTGAGCTATGAGTGTGGTTTTCTTCATGTTCATTAAGAGTCTTTTTAATATTATTTACAATATGAGGTGTTTTCTAGTTCTGTGATTATAGCTGGGTGGTGATAAACCAGTGCTATCTCTGTAATTCTGCTGATACACCTACTTGGATAAGCTTTACATTAACAAGGTTTCACAAACGAAGTTTTGTTATCTTTATTGTTGATAACTGTCAGTATGCACTAAGGCTTCCATAACATTCATGCAATCAGCAAATAACACACTAGAGTTCTGTGCTGACATTGTGTTGGTGCATTCAAGATCCAAGCAGTATCAAGAGGGTTGAATTCCAAGCACTTTACTATCTAATCTGCCTTTCAGAAGTACTTCCAGAAAAGAGAGTACAAAAACAGTGAGAAAGAAGAGTTTCTGAAAAGGAAATTCATCCTTAGATACTCTTTGAGAGTAAAATTCTGCTGGTAAGTGTAATGCTACATGCATCATATTATATTAGTGTGACTCATATGTAGGAAATAATTGGACATAATTACAGAAGTCTGTATTTCCTATTTTGGTTCACCGC